ATTGTGTTTCCTTTTGAAAATAGATCAGAGCCTCACACCAGTATATCACCCACAGGCGAATCCTGTAGAGCGCAAAAATCGTGACCTGAAGCCACGTCTTGCAATCCTTGTGGGACAAGATCACACTTCCTGGGCTGAAAAACTTCCTATGATTAGATTCGCCATGAACAGTGTAAAGTGTGAAACAACTGGCGAAACAGCATCATTTCTCATGTTTGGACGAGAAATGAGAACCATAGATGACGTTACGAGTGATTTTCGTGCCATCGTCAACAGCGATAATTTCGTGCCCGAGATCACTCCCTACCTAAAAAGATTAGCCAATATCTCTAATGACATCCGAGATAGAGTTGAATCCAAACAAGATCAGAGAAAGACTTACGCAGATCAAAAGCGTCAAAAATCACCATAGTACTCACCTGGTGATAAAGTATGGGTTACTTTGCATCCTAAGAGCAATGCTGCAAAATCAAAGACGGCCAAGTTCATGCCAAAGAGAGATGGACCGTACATCATTCTCACCCAAAGGTCCCCAACATCGTATGAAGTGGCCCACGTTGATAAGCCAAATGAACCGTTAGGACAGTATCATGTATCTGCATTGAAAAAGTGTTCTGATGAAAAAGCTGTGCCGGTGGCACCTTTACGTAAACGAGGCAGACCAAAAACTCTTGATCCTGACCCAAAAACCTTGATGACTCTCAGAAGAAGCCAAAAACGAAAAAGTGCTGGTCCCTCAACGAGACATTTAATCGGAACCAGAGGGGGAGTGTAACGAACTCTCCTCCTTCCCCCACTACAGCGCCTCTGGCGATGAACTAAGACAGTCTGCCAGGAACCGCCGTTAAGCACGGACGTTTAATTCGAGCCCAAAACCCCCTCTTCCAAATTCTTGTATTTTTTTTATCCTTGTTTTATTTTTATGTGTTTTGTCCTTTTCAATAAATATTTAGAGTTAGATAATTTCTAGTCTTTCATTATTTATGTGAATTGGTAGAAATACAAATAAACCAAGACTTCCCCTACAACATTCCTATACGTGTAAGGAAATAGCATTTTGTTAAAAGTTACCTCAACACGCAAAAACGTTACCTCAGTTCTGTGTATACCCTGCATTCTGCCCTGATCTGACTTCTTCAGTCATTGTTTCCTCTGCTACCCTAATTTCTCTAAGATTTTTTTTCCTCATTAATTTTTATCAGATTATTTTATAAGTAACTGTGCCCTATCGTATTTCTAATCAGTCCTCTCTTCAAAACTTTTCTTTTCATTTTCAAACAAGGCATAAACACTAAAATTATGCTCAAGAATATTTTACAGGCGCATTAAATATTTAAGAACAAAAACAGTAACATTAAATAAATTCAAATAAGACTGAATTTATTCCGGCCCTACTTAGAAAATGTGAATGTCTGACTTAGTTGTTAGAAAGTTTGCCCAGAAAGTTACTTAACGACTTTGATNTTTTGTTTTTTTTTTTTTTTTTTGCATCCAATGAAGAAACAATAGAATTTATTGTGAGGATTTAATTATGCCAAACAATATTTCTGGAGCTATTTTAATGTGATGTTAACATTTATCACTAATATAAAATTGCGAAAAGAAATAATAATGAAAACAAAATTTAATCGCATGACAAAATTTCACTATCAACAACAAGAAAAAATCGATTTACAACTTTTCGAGATGTTTATGCAAAAAATTCCTCATAGATTTAATACAAGTGACGAAAATCATAACCAACATTTATACGCTCATAAAACATTTTTTTAAGCCAAATGAAAGATTACCATGATCATAATTCTCTCTCTTTCCCTCTTCCTCTTTCTTTCTCTCTCTCTATCTCTCTCTGTCTCCCATTTTTTTTTCCTTTTTTTTTTTTTTTTTTTTTTNTTTTTTTTTTTTTTTTTTTTTTTTTTTTTTTTTTTTTTTTTTTTGCTAGTAGGCCAGAGATCGTCGAACTGTTTTGATTTTTGACTTTTAGTAAATACTGTCAATAAATTTGTGATTGCATATTATACATAGTCCATCAGTTATTTTATCTCTTATAAGTTTTCAGCGAAATATTTTTGACTCTACTCAACAATTTTTTTTAATAAAATGCTGTCTAAAAGTTGAATTTACCTGCTCTAAAATCTATTTTTAGTTTTCATAAACAAAAATAATATAAAACGAATCCTTTATTTCTATATTACATATTTACATATGAGTATCAAACAAGTTAAACGAGATTGAGAAGTTTATTTCATAGGAAATGCGGGCGTCTTAGATTGTGATAGCATCAGGCTGTAACCGGGGAGACAGTATCGGGAGGTAGCATCACATCGAGCGCCGTATGGAGAACAATGAATTTCATTTCCTCCACACGCAAAAGAAGTGCTTTCGCGACATTCAACTTCTCTTTTGAAGAACAGGAGGAATTTAGAGATATCGATATCCCCTTCATCTCTTTGTCTATTAAATTCCAAAATTAAAATGTGGGGTAAAATCTTCTGCAAAATAGGCATTAAGAGATGTCCGAAGGAGCTTGATGTAACTTTTATTGCTTCTAAATTTCTTATCGAAATTTCAAGCTCATCATAGATTTTACGCAATGCGATTAGATTTGAACTACTTTCAACTTCTTCTAAATTTAATATTTTATTCATGAACGAATTTATAATTATATCTCTTTTTCCGAATCTATCTTTAAGAATTTTTACACAATTGTCATAATTAGCGCTGGATAATTCGAAACCGGAAACAACGTTAGCAGCTTGTCTAGTTAAATAGGACTTAAGGTACGGAAACTTCTCTTCCTTTGATATATATTCATTCTTGTCTATTGAGCAAGAAAAACTATTCCAAAAGCTATGCCATTGCTTCGGATCACCTGAAAACGGTTCTATGACAAGTTTCGGTAATTTAATTGAGCATTGATTTTTTAAATTTTCACTTAAGAATGTGTCTAAACTTCGATCATGTGTTTCATTTAAGGTTGGCTTTACTTTAAATTTAGTTTCTAGATACCGCAATAATCTTTTTGAATATTTTAAACATTTCGCTTTATATTCTTCATTGTTTGTTATTTCTTTTTCAACTAGCTCGAGGGTTAGAGAGCTTTCGATTACGGAATCAAGTTCTTTTGATTCGTTAGATATTTCAATTAAATTTTCGCAATTGTCTCTAAGATCCTGCTCATCAATTTCATCCGCTGATTTTAATTTCGCTCTTTTAGCCTTCGCGATTTCGATCGCAGACATTATTAATAACAGAAATCCACCCACTATATATATATATATATATTACGAATAATGTAACAACAATAAAAGCCTACCTTTTATACCTTGACGTGTTTGAGCATGATATGTTTATCCAATAAATATTTTGCCTTATGCACCATGAAAAAGGTTAATTAAGCACAGATCAGTGGTTCAAATTAATTAACAAAACACATTATTTTAGAAACAAAACAAACTTTAATAGATTATGATATGAAGATACGAAGATAGTCAGTATTATAAGGGCTGACATTTCCCTTTCAACATTCATCTAATCAAATCAAAATCATAATGAAACACAAAGAAAAATATGTAATTGAATTAATAGGAGAGCGCCATCTCGTGGCATTCTGCAACAAGTATAAAAGCATGGAAAAAAATCAAAAATAAAAACTCATTTTTAAAAATATTTTTTTTTTTTTAAATATGTCCCAAGCTCTTTTAAAAATCAATTTCTAAATTTTTCGGAATACTGACAAACCTAAAGTAGGAATTGAATTTGACAAAATTTCTGTGCACAAAACAATCTTTAATTTTTATTTGAAGTCTATAAGCAATACAAAACCATCTATTAACAAATAGATTAACAATTCAATTCATAGGAAAGGCAGGTTTCTCAATAAAAGCTTGATAAAGATTATTTCTTCTGCGGCAATGTCTGGAGGGCGAATCACATCGAGTGCCGTAAGGACAACAATGTATCTTATCGGGACAGCACGATGCAGATTGGTAAGGGCAGCATGAGTATCCTCCACTTGATAGAGGACAGCAAGTAGATCCGTCCTGGCAGTAAGAACGACGTCCTGGACAGTAAACAATGTCGACTGTGTTGGCAACTTCCACTACTTCGGCCTTAATATTGTTTGATGGAGGATCCTTAATTAACAATGGGTGTACTAGACCGTTTTTGGCATCGCANCACAGATCGGTGGTTCAAATTAATTAACAAAACACATTATTTTAAAAACAAAACAAACTTTAATAGATTATGATATGAAGATACGAAGATAGTCAGTATTATAAGGGCTGACATTTCCCCTTCAACATTCATCTAATCAAATCAAAATCATAATGAAACACAAAGAAAAATATGTAATTGAATTAATAGGAGAGCGCCATCTCGTGGCATTCCGCGACAAGTATAAAAGCACGGAAAAAGATCAAAAATAAAAACTCATTTTTAAAAATATTTTTTTTAAAATGTCCCAAGCTCTTTTAAAAATCAATTTCCAAATTTTTCGGAATACTGACGAGCCTAAAGTAGGGAGTTGAATTTGACGAAATTTCTGTGCACAAAACAATCTTTAATTTTTATTTCAAGTCTATAAGCAATACAAAACCATCTATTAACAAATAGATTAACAATTCAATTCACAGGAAAAGCCGGTGTTTTAATAAAAGCTTGATAAAGATGATCGCTTCTGTAGCAATGTCTGGAGGTCGCATCACATCGAGAACCGTAAGGACAACAATGTATCTTATCGGGACAGCACGAAGCAGATTGGTAAGGACAGCATGAGTATCCTCCACTTCGTAAAGGACAGCAAGTAGATCCGTCCTGGCAGTAATAACGACGTCCTGGACAGTAAACAATGTCGACTGTGTTGGCAACTTCCACCACTTCGACCTTAATATTGTTTGATGGAGGATCCTTAATTAACAATGGGTGTACTAGACCGTTTTTGGCATCGCATCGGCCTTCTTTAAAGTTGCAGACCGTATCATGTGGACAACAATGAAGTCCGTCCGAGCAGCAGACAGCGTTGGGTTGTGGGCAACAACCGTACTCTCCAGCGACCGTTGTTCCACAGCAAGTCTGAGCTGAAAGCACAAATGAAACAAACTTGAATTTTCATAGTAAGTATACGTAATAGCTTTTTACTACTGGGAAAATTTTGGTAAAAATTTACAAATAGGTACCCATTTTATTTCTAGCAATATTTCGGCACTAGGATCGCAACAAATATGCGTTATTTATTTTACTTTTTTTTACAACTCTTTTGAAAACAACTAAAATACTTTAATGAATTACTACTTTTCGGTTAGCCAAGCGCAAGAAATTTAATTACTTTTATTAATGAATATTTTTCATTTTATTTAATTTTTTTATTTTATTTAATTTTTATTTATTTAAAAAATTAATAAAATCAAAAAATTAAAAAAAAAAAAGAGAGATAGTGGAGATGTACATTTTTTGGCGACTTTTCGGTTACATCCGGCTAACTGAAAAAATACCAAAACATTTAGCATTGATGTTAATTTAGGAAACAATGCTGTAATTATGTTTTCAAGCATCAGAAACACAACGCAGGTTTGAGCAGAATTTAACAAAATTTGTCACCAATTTAAAAGGTACCCTATTCTACTCTCTAACCAAAATTTTATGTATTCAGGAAATTTTAAAAAACATTATGCTTATTTTCATTGAAAATGTATGTGTGTGACGTTATTATGACGTCACCAATCACTTAAATTTCTTACAATCCCTGGCGTATTTATAACCTTTCTTATAACCAATGACGAAACAGAGGTTTCGCAAATAAATGATAAGTGAAAGGTCCAAATTTTAGATAAAAAATTTACCCATTTTTAAATAATAGTACTGTTTTGTTTAAACATTGAATTTGCAAATAATATATATCCGGCATTAAAGTTTTAAAAAATACTAGTGGGCTGTGCCCCCTGCTCGCTAACGCTCGCCAACCCCCGAAAATTGCTACGCAATCTTATATGGTTCGCTTCGCAAACCAAGCTCGCTTCGCTCGCTACTAACTTAGGTACATTGCAAATGCACAAAATTCTAAGAATTCAAAACAATCATTCAAATCCATATAACAATTTTTTTTTAAAAAAAATTGCATCTTTTTAGTAAATACTAAGTCATTAAAATAAATTTGAATTCAAATAAATGACATGTAATTCGTTAAACCTATTAGAAATGTGCTATAGTATAAAATCTTAAGATAAAATTTCTAAAACTGATATCTCTTTAAAAAGGTTAAAATTTTGGCTATAATTAAGTCTATTAAAAATTTAAATAAGAGAAATTGCAATGGAAAAACCCTGCATAAACAAAACATTGAATTTCGGAAGAAATCTCGTTTGGTGAGAATGCTCTCTCTTGTCAAAAAATACAAAATAAACTGACCTCAAATAAAACTCCAAGGACTTCGAATCAAATAATTAAGGAAACTACTATCACGTTTAATATAAAAGGAAGATTTATTAACTAAACAATAAAATTACAGCATCGCAGTTCCAAAAAACAAATCTCACACTCACTCAAAAAAACAATTTACCTTCTAATTAGTCACCATAGCAACCACAAAACTCTTCTCGTTACCATGTATAAACTGATATATAATAAATAAATTATTTAACAAAAAATACGATGCGCATAAGCACATAATATTTTACACTCTGGTTATTTCCGTTTCCGTTTTTAGAAGCGCTATATGTTGAGCCACCCAATCTAGATTTGGCATGTAACATTTTTAGCGGCAATTATTGGTTGATTTTCTAGCGTTGCCATTCGGAGAGTTGTAATGAGGCTTTTTTTTATCGCCGTGTAAGAGAAATATATATATAGATATTCATTTATGCACCTTTGACATTCGGTCAATTTTTTATTTTCTATTATGATTTCATGAATAAAAATTTTTTTGTCATCAAAAAGTTATGAACATTTAGTAATGCCTTATTAGCATTTGTGAGCATTATAACTGTTATTAAAATAAGGAAATTATCTGAAGGCATAAAAGTATAGCATTTATTATAAGTCTTAGCACATTAAAAACGTATTTATTTCATACTTTTTTAGTTTATTTCTCGTCAGCGCAAGAAGAATACCATTACGTGTTTCTTCAGAATATTTTAGGAGTATTCTGTATGATTTCTTAGAATTTTTTAGACCATATATTAAGACCTTATTTGAATTCTGCATTAAGACTTCTACTGTTAGCCTCACTTTCATTTTATGCAAATCATTTCTATCTTATTTTGAAACCATTACACCTTCAGCTAATTTCTGCAGCTAAACAGAGGGAGCCACAAATCAGACAAGAGAGGAAAATCAATGATTTTAGTCTACCACCCCAAAATAATAAAAAAAAAATGGCGATAATCCCGTATTGTAATAAGGTTTTTCTTTTACCATATATTATGTACAATGAATTAGAATACTTAATTATAAATTAATTGAATATTACATAATTGTAAGGAATTCATTTTCCTGTGTTCTGTTTTCGTTTTTTTTCTTCTTTTTTTTTTTCTTTTTTTTTTAATTTTGATTAATACTGTAAAATTTTCACTCTGAAATCACGGTAAAATGATTGACAGCAGTCTGTCCATCCCATAAACCATAAAATTTATGGTCAGGAATAATTTTTCTTTCACCTTTACAGTTTTGGTAACCGCTTACAACTGGTACAGTAAAAAAACCGGGAATACGAAACTGAACGGTTTTGTCACCATTTAAAACTAGCTTAGTTTCTAATCCATTGAAATGAAATTTAAGCGATCATTTAAGCTGTGTAGGTGCTGCGTTTTTTCTGCGTAAATGATAATTTCGTAGCATAATGGTTCAAGGTCACTGAGTGAAGAGTGCAAGACACTGGAAACTCTTCACGTAAAGACGGGATGAAAAAATATTGAAGTATCATCACTGGGACTCGATTCCCCAATAAGCTGGGCATGAGATTGGCCGATTAGTCCTCTCAGCTAGAGTGCATGTACCCAACTGCACAGAACAAAACGGCTTTATAAGGAAGCCTAGTTTCACAGATAGAATTCTGATTATTTAACCGTATTAGGAAAAAACAACCAATAAACGTTTTTTCTCACAAAGAATTTTAATATAATTAATTTTCTATTGTTATTTGACTGTTTTGGTTGAATTTGGTAAAATAAAAATTTTATAAATTGCTATTTAGTCATTTCTACCAAAAAATTTCTAACAGTAAATAAGGTCAATTAATTATACCCATATATGTTTTTAAAGTTTTTGGTTCACTTTAGATCAGTTTCAAAAAAAATTTATACAAGTACGTTTACATTTAAATAGGCACAAACTGTATAGACTGAAATGAAAAGTACGCTATAGGTTATGTTGATAATACATTGCCAACTAAATGATGATAATAATGCGTACATACCTCCAGAACAAGTATCTGTTGGACAACCTCCTTGTACTGAGTATATGACAGCACAAGTAATAAGAATAACGCCAATATTCATTTTTCTGTCTGAAATAAATAAAGTTTGCATTTACAAACGCTTAACTACATGCAACTATTACAGTACACTATGTGTGAAAATGTAGCATTTAAATTTGGAATTTAGTACTTTTAACTGATGAAATTTTCAAAGTAATTAATTTCTTTTAAACTGTTGACTTATAGAAACGTTACATGAAAATGGAATTTTTTTCATTGTTGGGTTATAGGAACTTTACATCGAAATGGAGTTTCTTCGCTGTTAACTTATAGAAACTTAGCATAGAAATTGAATTTTCAAAGTGGAGCTTACAGGAAAATAGCGAAATTTTTTAACTGCTGTCTTATAGGAACTTGACATAAGGAGGGATAAGAATTTTTTGCTAAAATGTCTTAAATCGAAATTTTATTAACCCCGAAAATAATGTTTTATCGGAATTCTATTCCTAAATGCTCAGGGACAACAAATCAACATTTCGTTAAATATATTTGATAGTAAAAAAAATTCTATATATTAAGGATCGAGGCTAAAACCATTCAGAACTCCGGATTCTATGAGTAAAAAAACCTTATATAGTATATTAATAATGTTTGAGTAACATTATTCTCATAAGTAGCTTTCAAACATACCAATATGCGATGCCTTTTTGAGCACTTTCCCTTTACCTTTTCAAACACAGGTCTGGTATCCCCAAATAAATAATATTTTTATTTTTTTAACGTTTTTTGAGTAACATGCTTAACTGATGGTCAGAATGTGTCGAATCCTTTTGTTTAGAACGCCGCGATGCACGCCATTGAAACGCGCAAGAGTGCTATTGAAACCTTGCAAGTTTAACTTCATTTTTCCCACAGCGTGTGTCTGTTTTTAATTGGTCCTGCCTTTAATTCGTTAAAATTGTTTAAGATGCAGAAAATGTTTATTCCATTTAATTCTTAAAATATGACTAGAAAAATGGATTTATATTATTGAAAAAAATTATTTGATTCATCTCTAGCACGAATTTTTTTTTTTTTTTTTTTTTTGCCATGTTAGTTTGAATTTTATTTTCATTAATTTGTTTCATTTTGAAAAAGGTATGCCACTTCTTTAAACAAATCAAGTTTATTTATTTCACGGCTTCATCATAAAAATTTGGATAAAAACTGCATCCGTGTTAGAGAATTTCGGATTATTATAACTGACAAAATATTATTTTCTATTCATAATTTTGTTGGTTTCGTTAGAATTTAGTTTTATTGATTTGCTTCGCTGCAGAAAAAAAAAAACTGTTCTCAAAACTACATATTATTTTGATTATCTCCTTTAAAATATTTTTCTTTTCTCTACATTTAATTTATCAGAACAATTTCGTGCAGAAATTTATTCTATTTACGATATTATATAATGTCTGGAACTAAAAACATAATTTCAATGTAACCCATTTGCTTTCACCGTTTATGTTGCTGAAATATGTAATTATTTCAAACTTAACTAGTATTGTGTATATTGTTTCATATATTCGAGGTTAGTTGTTATTTCCATGCATAAATACTTTCTTATGTTTCACCTGTAAGATTCAAGCGAATTGCTTATTTGAATATACATCGAGCTTATAATGTACGGTGAATAAAAAAAAATTTAAGAAAAGTGACGTAATTTTTTATCCAACTATTCTACTAAGAAATTGTAAATAAAATGCAGAAGTTTAAAATAAACTAATTGCATAAAATACAAGCAAAAGAATTAAATATAAAAATTTAAAATAAAAGCCTAAAACAATTTATCAAATTTGGAGAATGAAAAATATTTGATAATTGTATTTAAAATTATTAATGTTCACTTTTATTTTTTAAGCTAAGCGAGTAAAAGTTTCTAAATATGAATTAACGATTATTGATAGATGCAGGAAAGGACTAATTTTTTTCAATTTTTATAGAAATCGAAGTATTTTTGATTCAACCAAATAATATATCCACTTCAGGAATCGAGAGGCCTAATTTCTGAAGTTCTGAAAAATTATTAAAAGGGGGATATAACCTCTTACGTCCCTCTCTTTCGTCGCAAAAAATGAATAATTGCACCAGCTTAAGAACAGACATTAAAATTACTTTTTCGTTCGAAACATTTGTTAGACATTATAGCTTGGACAATCATAAAATTATGATCAAAGCATAACATGCATAATCTGCATAACTATGAATAAAGTGAAACATGAAGTATAACACTTCCAATGATGCATAAAGTATAACGCATTTTTGAGCATACTTTCAATGCGCAAGTTATTTATGACTCGACTGAATGATATAGTGAGAATATAGCAATGTAGTGAATAAAGTAAATAATGATTATATTGATAATAATTATAATTAATGGTGGTGATATATAGGTAGATGATAATGATTAATGATGGCGGTCTAACACTCAACTGAAGGACATACTGAGGATACTGTAATGATATAGAGAGGGAATAGCGATATAATGAATAAAATAAATAATGATGATATAAATAGTTATATAGTGATATATAATGATAGTGAATGATGATACAGATTAATAATAAAAAGTAGTGAAACAGGTAGATAATAATGAATAACGATAATGGTTTATGACTCAATTGAATAATATAAGGAGAATATTATAGTGATATAATGAAGATATAGCAATATAGTGAATAAAGTAAACAAAGATGATACAGATAGATAATAATGAATAGAAATGATAGAATGATATTGGGATACATAATTCAGCATACTTACTTTTTGAAAATGGCAAAAACAAAAAATTTTAAAAAATTAAATGAATTTTTTTTAGGTAATAAGTGTAACTTTTTTTTAGTTAACAAAGCATATATTTTCTATTTCAAAGAAATTCCAAATTATTATCCTACACAATGTCTTACAACGGTGCATGCAAGATCTTTTATTCTTCAATTTGGTAAGTCAGTTTGGTAAGGGAAAAAAATGAAATTTCGTTATCAGTCAATATAGTAGAGATAAAACACTTTCTTACTCCATTAAAAGTGATTAATTTCAAATATTTGCGAAAATGAAATCTAACTGAAACTTTTGAAAACATGTTTGCATTATTCGAGAATATTTTTATCTTTTCTGCCACGTGCGGGACAGTTGTTCCATATAATTTAAACTATTCATTTCTTACACACTTTTTATAAAAGAAGGAAAAAGAACAAATAGTAACTTGATCTAAGTGTGACTGATTAACAGGCCTAAATCTTCATGGTTTACAGTTTATTCTGGGAAAAAAACTGTTTCAACTGCTCATTCTGAGTCTATCAGAGCAGCAATGTTTAACACGCTGAAGTCATTCAGCAAAAACAAATATCTCAACCCTTTGATGCGGTTGGGACACCGGCGTCCCTTTAATATATTTTTTCTGACGCTTTAATTACAAGCAAAAAAACATACATTTTATAATTTTTAATTATAAGAAGCAATCTAATAGTTGTTAAACAAAATCTGTTAGATTATCGGAGTTATATTTGTGCTGAAATATAAAATCTAAATAAAGTGGTTTGAAAAAACATTTTCAAGAATTTATCAATAATTAATTTTATAAATTAATAAAATTTTAATGATGAATAACTCTTTGATCTAAATTTTAGATCAAACTTAAATAACTACATATAAGTGCAAACTTTAAAAATTATTGTTTTGAAGTGAGCCGTGTTTGGAAGATTTTACCTAAACTTCTAAAAGCTTCTTTAAATTCAATTCATTTGAAATCTTAACTGTTAAATATCATAATCTTATATATTATATCTTATATGTTATATCCTTTTTTATGTAATTATGCTATGTTCTCACTTTTATATATGTCCTTTTACTCGTTATTAGCGTTGAAAAGAATGTGAGCAATTGTGCGGTCTAACAGTCAATCGGGTTTTTAACATTGTATAAGTCTTAGCAAGAAAATGAATTTTTTGTTACTAAATAACCTTGTGCTGTTAAAAATGATAAGGTTTTATCTTATTAATGCAATATTAGTTTTCGTCTAATGTCCTTAATGCAAATTACCATTTTATTACCAATAAGTTTGCATTTATCGCACTTTTTTAATTCATCTTATCATTTTATTTTAGCTTGGTGACTTAGCTTATTAATCATAACCAATATATACTCTCCTTAAAAATTATTCAAAGCGTGAGCTGGCAGACGTTGTTCTCTCGACAAAAACTTTTTTTATAGTATTAATTTTTTATTTTTTAAATTTTAACTATACAATTACGTATTTTCAGTATTAATTATAAATTAAGAGTCGTAGTCTGATGAATTTTGTTAGAAATAATCACTTAGCAATTTTCAGAAGTTAAATCTTCTTAAATAATTTGATATTATTAACAAATTTTGATTACATTTAGCTAAATTTGATAGTAACCATTATCCTATGTTCGTTACTAAAATTTAGTCTGACTGAGCATCTTTGATTTCAGAGACTACTAGTTATTCGGAAAAACAAAGGAATCATTTACGTTGGATGGCACGTTAAATTTCGACCCATTCCAACACTAAGAATTTTGTTCTTATAGCATTCGAAACGAAATAGGAGAAAATTTATTTTTGCTATTCGCGTTAATGGGTATTTTGATGTTGGGCTGAGCTATGCTTTCACAAATTTGTTTCAGATATTATCTTATAGAGAAAAAAAAGATCTGACATTCGCTTATTTCCAGAGTATCTTTGTATCCAGAGTATCAGAGTATTATACGTTTGTATCATTAAGCATTATGCTATAAATTCATTTTAACGAGACAGAACCACAACTATCGAATGAGTGCTTGATCATTGAGTGTAATGCTTGTATAGAATATGTTCAAATATTACTGATAATAATTTCATTGAAGCAGCTTTGCTTTTGCCATTATCCAATGAAGGATATTAGGATATCCTGAGAATTAAGAAAGTTACTGATTCAGTTTTTGTATATCGGCCTCTGATTTATTCTATACAGTTGTTATTCCATTGATGTATGAACATACACAAGCTGAAAATGAAGCAAATAAGCCGAATAATAATTTTCGT